AATTCATTTAAAAACACTACGAACGTTTGTCCCGCCCCAATATAATGAATATTTCAGGCCAATTTCCACATATTTGTGCACTTTATGGCAATGTTTACGCCTCTGCATCTTCCGTTTGAAGGTGTAACATGTTAAGTGTTTGGCACCGGGACGTACGGTATTTAGAAATATGTATTATTTTACATTAATCTTTTTCCAAACAGTAAGCGTGCAGAAGTACGTAAATCGGGGTATGGGGTCAGGGAGGTTTGTGTGCATGACAAAGTATTTAGATACGAATAATGCAACCCCAAAATTATCAGAATATACTCATGGTTGTTGCGAAAGCCCCGACAAGAAATCCAAACCGTGTGACTGCTCTCCTATTAGCAGGCGGTTCGCGATATCTGCCCCCAAGACAGAGATACGTAGACTTAGTGGGAAGGTCTCTGCTCTGTTGGGTGGTGGAACGAACGGTCATAACCGCGATAAGAGGCTAACGTAGGATGTGTATTATCATTGATTAAAAGATAAGGACATGTAGTACGGATTGAAGTTGTCACGGCGATGGCAACGAACAGGATTTGGTTTTGCCAAGAAGCTTTAATCAAAACGGAGTTCATTTCATGCGGTTTTAACAGAAAATATCGCGCTGAGTAAGATCAGTTAAAAAGGATTTCATCTCAAGTGTTTATGTTCAGTCATGTGACTTATGAGTGTGCGGTTATGTAATTCACACGGAAACAGACGACAATCTCGGCGTATTACGGGCCACTGACGATGAACAACGGTCGAAATTAAGAGATCATAATTGCAGATTAAACAGCAAGAACTTTTGAACAATTCAACGTTCAGAAAGCTTTCTGAATGTTGAATAAATACTGTTTAAAACACTGGAAAATTACTGATGTAACTTTGTTCAATGGTAAAGCTTGGTACAATGACTGGATGACATTATAACAAGTAGATAACAACAGCAATCTTTAGACATTACGAGTCACGGACAGTAAACAGTAGGGTTGAAATTAGGAATCATTATATCAAATTAAATAGCAAGAGATCCTGAATAATTCTGTTGAAACCTGAACGCTAAGTAAACGCTGCTTAGAACATTAGCTAGTTAATGGTGCTGTTTGTTGCAACGGAATAACGTAGTGCAATGATTAGATGACAGTACAGAAACGCATTTAGCCAGTGAGCACCAAATATAATAATAATGTGATAGTACCAAAAAGTATGAAGAAACAGGAAAATGTTGCTAGAAAAAAGGAAAGATTGCTGAACTTCTATGTAATATTAATCCAACTACATGGCAGTGAATGCTAGACAACTTCCTTACAGCTGAAGAGGTCACTTATGGCATCAAGATGAGGTTCTACAGAAGAATGCTGAGAATGCCATAGACAGATCATGTGAGCAACAAGGAAGTTTTGAGGGAAATGGAAACAGAAAAGAACACTTATACGTAGAATCAGAAAGAAGCAATTGAAATTTCTGAGATGTATAATGAGAAAAGAGAGCTTAGAAAACTTGTCATTCAGCGGACATATTGGAGGTAAGAGAAGAAAGAAACGGCTAGAAACTTAACTAACGAACTTGTGTAAACTGATGGCAGATCTAGGAGTGAGAAATGTAGTAAAAATGTAAACATTGTTTAGAGCTACAAATTATAGGAAGCTATCGAGAGCAATAATCGTTCACGCCCTGAAGGGACAAGGCACATAAAAGAAGACTAATATTTATAATGTTAACAAATATAATAAAATGATACATCAGTTGTACATTGAATAGGGTCATAAATTCTAGCCGTGCTGTCATTGTGGCTTTCTAAGCGTAACTTAGAAACAGCACAATGACGAAAGTATGAGGCATTCAGTCGTAATTGATCTAGCGAGACAAGCTTGCTAACCATTAAACCACGTCGAAGTGCTCCCAGCCGTGTTGCCATGTGTTTTTTAGGCCTAGAAATAACAAATAAGAAATGACAGGAAGACTTGTTTATTTTCGCTGTTAACATTACCTACAAAAGTGGCCTGCTTTAAAAAAAATACCAATGGAGAGTTAAACTAAAAACAATGAAACTCAAAGCTTCGTTTTTAAATGCTAAAAATTTTAAACGAAGCTTTGAGTTTCATTCACCAATTTCTCCCTGTTGCCTTAGCAACAGCAGCGGATAGAAGTTAGTAGCTTTTGCATATATATAGTGCGCTTACGTCGTTAGAGAATGTGACACAAGGTCGGAGGTTTAAAGAGGGTTTAACGGCAATACCGTGGAAAAATTGGTCAAGACGCCCCCCCCCTCCACACGTCTCCTTTTGGGGGATGCTTCAGGCGCTGGGTAATGATCCTAGCTCCCTCCCGGAGGAGAGCTACTGTTTGGGATCTACGTCCCCAACCCCCTAGAACTTGAGCTTAATATTATTTTGAAACTATTCCAGCCGAAACCGACAGAGAGATAAATGAAACATTCAAGCAGGTCTGTCTGAATTGAAACACGTTTCATCATATATTGAATCGCAGTCTGTGATGAAACACTTTTCTTAAAAGTTCATTCTGAGAACAATTAGACCAATGACGAGACCTTTTTTCCCCAAAGCCTTCAAATGTATTACTTTCATTTCACCGTTATTAAACATATTCTACTTTTATGACTTTTTATCAACTTTTCATTTAGTCTTAGCCTCTTAAAGAGATTATTGTATATCATACATTGTGGTGTCACATAGATTATATCATAGGATTACTGTCCAGAAACAAAAAAAAATCAGTCTTTAAATAGAGGCAGAACTGCCTACTTCTGTGGAATCACTGAAACGCATTATACTTACGATTTCTAAGGAATTAACGGATTTATTTTTAATCCGACATTTTTATTAGTTCAAACGTTATTTTAGTGCTTACCCGTTTTTAAATAGACGCCTTATTATTTATTTTAAACAGTGAATATTACGTCTATCGGCCTTCGCGCTCGAGAAAAAATAGAAACTTCCTGGGCTGTGACGCTTTCTGTGGCCGAGGAGTCTAAAACACGCCGGATCAAACGGCGGTTTTTTCTAACAAAGAGGGTACAGGTTCGAACCATGCCGGAGACCTCATTTTCTTTATTTTCTCGAGTCTGCAGGTCGATAAACACTGATTAAAATAAAAACATAACAGGGCATCTATTTCAAACATGGGTATCCACTAAATAATATATGAAGTAATAAAAATATGTCGGATTAAAAATAAATCCATTAATTCTTTAGAAAATGCTTTGTTTACGTTTCGGATAAGAAACTGAGCAGATATGGGCTTTTGGGTAACGAGTAAGTGTGCATTCTTTAAAGGGTAAATAGAACCTTGCTGAGCAGTGATGCTCTCTATGGCTGAGCAGTCTAAAACCCACCGGATAAAATGGTGATTTCTACTAAGGAGCGCGAGTTCAAAATCCCGCCGGAGAGCACATCTTTATTAAGCTCCCTGGAGTGTGCAGATAGACGTAATACATAATTACGATGTATATCAGTATTGGGATGATAATAAAGTCTCGTATTATTATATCTTTCGTAAGAAAACGATTTGCAATGAAGAAAAGTTATAAGAATCTTTTTAACCTAAAAAGCACATATCTGATAAGAGTCAATGGTGACTACTTGTAGTGTTTAAGAATGGCGTACGTGATGAAAAATATATTTGGATCTGATAGCCACTATCTGCTTGTCAAATGAATTTAGATTACAACGGGATTAAAAAAAAATTAAACGAGCAAAATATTAACCATGATTATAGACACAGAAGGCAAGACTATACAATGTCTTTTCATGAATTGACTTTTTGGGAAACGAAGAATATCAGAAAGCAATAAATTAAAAAAACGCGAGATATATTTTAACAGATTTCGTATTACTTTTATTAATTACACCCGACTTCCAGTGTAAAATATATATATATATGTGTTTTACGTGTATGTGCGTACCTCTGATGGTTGCTCCTTGTCGTAGTAGAGGGGTGTGCGTGGTTTAATGCTGTCGGGAGTTCTAAAATCTTGGTAGGGCCACCCTTGACGGCAAGGTCAAAGACAAAGTCCCTGACTAAGCTGGACCAATCCCCAAAACTCCAACAGTGGAACAAGTGGATGACAATTACAACGGATCTCAACGGTTGAACCAGCAGATGAAGAGGGCTACGAATGTTGGACATACTACAGAAAGCGTCACTCGAAATTATAACAGTGTCAGTCCGTTGCATTTTCATATCTGGATTCTGCATGTCTCATTCTGCATAAGCCGCAGAGGAAGTTCATGAAATCAAGTGGGTGGATCACTTCCTGGCAAGTTGAGGTTCACCTTAAACAAATTCATGCCATTGACAATTTCTTCTACTCTGATTTTCTTTCACATCCAGCCAACTCTTGCAAAGCCAAACGGTGATAAAGAATGAATGAAATGGCGGCAAATTAAATCAGGAACGTTATCATCATAAAGAAAGTGATCAGCCAAGAAGAAATTCAATTCTTGCATTTAAGATAAAGTCGACGACGATATTAAATAGTATTTTTTAAAATATTATTGAAGAATATTTTTTCTGTATAAAAAATCTTTTGAAATTGTTTCGTCCAGTAATTATTAAGAATTACAACTATAAAATTAATTAACCCAAAACTAAATTAAAATAATTATATAAAATTGTTTTATTATTTCATTTTTCTCTATAGAAAAAAAACATTAGGATGTTAAAAAAAAAAGTAATTACGTTTTACTAGAAAGGATATAGAGATAAATGCTAAAACAAAATTAAATTTATTTAACTATTATTTAGCAATAATATAATCATCTCCATTTTCAACGAGTGCACTCCAACAGGAAGGCAAATTTTCAATTTCACGTTATAAATAAATACCATTATCCCACACCCGAAAAACAGTTTTTAATTTTTTCTTTGGTTTTGAATCTGGTGAGTATGGAGGATGTGGAAGAAACTCCCCCATCTTAATGATTTTATTTAGGTGGGGAGTTACAGAATGTGTTCTTGTATTGTCATGCTTACGGCCATATCACGTTGAAACACCGGTTCTAGTACGAACACCGAAGTTGAGCAACGTCGAGTCTGGTCAGTTCTGAGATAGGTGACCGCTTGGGAATAACTGGTGCTGTAAACTTGGATGTGTGGGTGGTGTCGGGGGGGATCACTAGTGATAGCGACGTTATGCCTCAGACTCAACACACAGGCCTACATCAAGTGCCTTGAGGAGGTAGTGCTGCACTGAGCCAAGAGGGAAAACTGTCACGAATCATAGCTCAGTTGATAAAAAAATATATTATGGTCGATTTTTCTATTTTTATTTATTTTTAATGTTCTGTCCCTTCAGGGCGTGGGTGATTATGACTCCCCACAGATTTTTACCACGCATTGTTCGGAAAGATAGTGGAGTGTTTTTCGCCACGGTTTCGAATCCAGAGTTTTCCTTCTCTTAGTTATCATCTAGAAAGTCTAGTCTACCCTGCTATTTAAACATGGCTGATGTTGTGGAGAAAGAGAAGGATTCATGCCTTTCTCACGGACATTTGTGCGAAAGGAAACGTAACAGACTAGACCGGAATTTGAACTCGAATCACCTATTTCACTTTCCGCATCGATATCCCTTATCGAGTAAGCTTTCTAAAATTAATAGCAAAAGTAGTTAAATTAATATACACGTTCATATACATAATTATTGTGAGACCGGAACTACCTACACAATAGACTCTTCCAGGTCTATATTAAGTATGCGACACAACACTCGACACAGAGTGACATAGAGAGATAGAGAGACAGTGACAGCCGCGTACGACTACCAGTATTTGACACTAACATATCGTAAGCTCCGCCTGCACTATCTCTGTAACCTGTTGTTAATATATCTTTCTTACATCTAATCCGTGTTCCGTGTTTTCCTTCTGTGGTCCCAACTTTGGCCCCACATCAGTGGCGACGGGGATTCTAGAAACGCACTCACGGCGAAACCTCAATACCTTACCAATCCCACATCTGGGTCGACGAAGAATTCTAGAAACGCATCCACGTCGAAAAACCGCAATACTTTGCCAGTCCCACAACAGTGGTGACAGAAAAGATTCGAGAATTTCGTTCTCACCATATCAATAGCGACAGAGTACTCGAAAAATACACAGAAACTCCACGCGTTCCCACAGTAGTGTTGAACGAGAAATTAAGCTGGTACTACTACATTAGCGATTTAAACGCAACACCCAGCGTCTACATATATTCCAATACCAAACATCAGTGACGAGCAATGTTTCGACATCTACGGAATATTAAAGTCTGTCCAAATAACAAGAACGAATTCTTACACACCCACAAAAAAAAAAGTTGTCATAAAACAAACTGACAATACAAGAGCGGAAGTACTACCATTGTACTCAAGTTTTCGAAAAAAACTATCTAAATTTTTTTTTATGTAACTGAGTTGAACTCGTGCATAAAATTATTCTCCTCTCAAATTCACTGAGGCGAGTTTTCTCTTTTTGTACCTCTATAAAAAAAATACATAAGTGTGGTGAAAATTTATATAATTACGTTAAAATTAACGGAACCACGGAATTGCAAAAAAAAGCTAAACACATAATTAGTTTAGTTTAACTATTGTCTGTCCATATTTTTTTCTGTAAAAGAAAAAAAAAAGAACAAATCTATCAAGATTTTTTTTGTGTACCTCCTCTTAGTACACGTGTTTCAAAGCAACAAAAAAGCGCTGTCATTTTTAAATATGGAAGATTTTCAAAAAGCAGTTGACCAAATGTTAAAACTAAATTTGAATCAGCAACAAAAATCAGAAGAAAGACAACAACTATTTTTGGAATTACATAAACAACAAATGGAATTCCAACGAATTACGCTTCAGAATGCTGAACTACAACAGAAGCAACTTAAAGAATTAATCGTAAATGCATTAAAAGGCTCAAACTCTGAAAAAGATACAATATTCTCCCAGAGTACAATCTACAATTCAATGGAAACATTTGAATACGTACCAGAGAACGACAAAACGTTCCACGCTTTTTACAGGCGCTACGAAGATATTTTCAACGTTGACTGTGAACAATGGTCCAGTAAAAAGAAGGTACGTCTTCTATTGAGAAAACTGGGAACTACAGAACATAGTAGGTTCGTAGATTTCATACTACCCAAGAAAACGACTGACTTGGATTTTTTCAGAGACTATTAGCTCCTATCGGAACTATTCAGGGCCTAACACAACCTTGTTCCACAAACGTTGGAAATGCCTGAACACAGTCAAAAGACAACCAGCAAGATTTCTAACGTTTGCAGCATCGGTAAACAAGCTCTGTAATGATTTTAAACTAGCCGAACTGGCTGCCGATGATTTCAAGTGCTTAATTTTCGCCGAAGTCAGACGACGGGTACTGACCAAGCTTGAGAACGAACAAGGATTGATTCTGCAAAAACTGGCAGAGGACTGTCAAAGAGTAATATCTGTAAAGTGTGATTCAAACACTATCGAGGAATCAGGTGTGATTAATAATTAATAAAATCAGAAGCAAGTCTACCTCCTATTCCCCTCAAAAAGACAAAAGGCAAATCTCATGTCCTAAATTACGCAGTAACCAAAACCCAAATAAGTTAAAGAAACCGCCGGGACCATGTTACCATTGTGGTAAATGGCATTGGATGAAATTCTGTCCAGTTAAGAACAAAAATATTGCAAAAATTGCAATAAAAGTGGCCATACTTTAACTTCGTGCTGGTACGCCAACAGAACGAGAAAACCCCAAAATAAAATTAAGCAAGCTCAATCTGACAATATTGTCGATAGGAATTTAAGGAAATATGTAACTGTGGATATTTTCAATAAGTCCATTAAATTCCAGCTTGACTCGGGTTCCGATCTTTCAACCATTAACTGGCGTTCTTGGCGAAAATTGAACAAGCCGACCTTATAAAAAACGGATAAAACAGCAAAATCCGTAACTGGCGAAAAGATTAACATTTTAGGTGAGGTAATACTTACAGTAACACTAAATGGAGTTACCAAAAAGCTCAAAGCCTACGTATTAAAAACTTCAGACAACTTATTTGGAACAGATTGAATAGAAAAATTCAATCTTTGGGATTGCCCAATGAGTACATTTTGTCGCAAGATACAAAGTACAACGTCCAATTTGGTAAATCTCAAAAAGGAACTCAAACAACAATTTCCCCAGGTTTTTTCTGGTGGCCTTGGGAAATGTACTAAAAATGAAAGCTAAGTTCAAGGTGAAGGACGATGTACAACCGGTATACAAAAAGAAACGGAATGTCCCTTTCGCTGCTCTAGAGCAAATAAACAAAGAGTTAGATAGACTCGAACAAGCAGGTATTCTATCAAAAACAGATTTCAGCGAGTGGGCAGCACCTACGGTCTACGTAAAAAAGAAGTCCAATCAAATACGAGTATGCGCAGATTTTTCCACAGGGTTAAACGATGCTTTGCAAGATCACCACTATCCTCTCCCAAGCTCTGAGGAAATTTTCAGTAAACTCAATGGTGGAAAAATCTTTTCTAAAATCGACCTCTCGGACGCATACCTTCAGATAGAGGTAGAAGAAGAAAGTTTCAAATTGCTCTGCATAAACACCCATAGAGGGTTGTACAAATACACTAGACTGGCTTTTGGAGTAAAGGTTGCGCCTGCAATTTTCCAGCAGGTCATGGACGCCATGCTGGGCGACCTTGACTACGCAACAGCCTATTTGGATGATATACTGGTTACTAGTAAAAATACGGTAGAGCACCGGAACCATATAAAAAACGTATTTGAAAAGATACAAGAATACGGTTTTAAGGTTAAGGAGGCAAAGTGTGACTTTTTCTTACCAGAGATTAAATACTTAGGGCACGTCATAAATAAAGACGGTCGTCGGCCGGATCCAGAAAGAGCCAACGCGATCAGAAACATGCCAGCCCCAGATAACGTTCAAGCGTTACAAAGCTTCCTCGGCCTAGCTAACTTTTACCAAGGGTTCATTAAGAACATGCAAAATTTGAGAGGGCCTCTCAACCAACACTTAAAAAAGGACATGGACCACGGAATGCCAAGACGCATTCGAGAAGATCAAGAAAACTCTTACTTCGGACCTCTCCCTCACCCATTACGACCCTAGTCTCGACATCATAGTCGCAAGTGATGCAAGCTCATAAGGCATTGGTGCTTGCATTTTACATAAACTGCCAGATGGTTCGCGAAAAGCTGTGGCTTACGCATCAAGATTTCTAGTTAGATCTCGACATGCCCCAAGTTTCTCCGCTCAGGAAGGAAAAGGAAATTTACTCAACCGCTCGACGTAAATCCCAAGAGGAAAAAGTATTAACAGTTTTATTTTTTTCTCTCCTTTTCAAAAAGAAAACTCTTGGAAGGTGAGACCGGAACTACCTACACAATAGACTCTTCCAGGTCTATATTAAGTATGCGACACAACACTCGACACAGAGTGACATAGAGAGATAAAGAGACAGTGAACAGTATTGGACACTAACATATACACTATCTCTGTAACCTGTTGTTAATATATCTTTCTTACATCTAATCCGTGTTCCGTGTTTTCCTTCTGTGGTCCCAACTTTGGCCCCACATCAATAATTCGATCCCGTTTCGCCGATTCCATGTTTATAATTATCCCATATCTGTTTATAATATGTAAAACCGGCATTGTGTATGTGTATTAAAGATTTTTGTTAAAAGTATGCGTGACTGAAAGATAGATAGATAGAAGGAAGGAAGGGAAGAAAGAAAAGAAAGAAAGAGAAAGAAAGAAAAGGGAGTGAAAGAAAAAGGGAAAGAAACATAGAAAAAAGAACGAGAAAAGGAAAAAACAAATAGAAAAAAGAAAGAAAAAGGGAAAGAAAGAAATCTTTTTCTTTTAGCTGTCGATAGCAACTCCAAGCGGTTTTTCCCATAAAATCCTTTTAAAAATACAAATATTCCACTCATTTTGATGAATTGTTTAACAGGTTTGCGGTCAGCTGTAGGTTTTAAATTTATCAAGTAACAAGTTAAATTTCCTCGTAGAAATTTTATTTCTTGCTCTACATGATATTTTCCTTACTCCGACTCAAAAGAACATCGATCAAGTAAGATGAATTTATGCAGAAACAAC